CCCATCTCTGAAATCAACAGCTATGTTTCCATCCACCTTTTTTATGTACAATTTGGATATTCGCATAAAAATATGGTAGGCTGAAACGCCAAGACGTGAATAAATTTTGAAAAACATGCGCATAACTGAGTAGGATAAACTTTATTCGATAAGAAAAGATGCGCTTAAACTATGATGGAAATATGTTTACCGAACAAATTCCAGTATTTGCATTAAAAAAAGGTCATGTAATTTTGTTACAAGAGATCATGTGATGATAAAAAAATATTTGCGAATGGATCAGCAGGCTGAACACATGTGTCTCACGCCTTCAAACGCCACCGCGTGTTCACTGCATGTCAGGATTGCCTTCTGAGGCGCAAGTCATTTATTAAATGAAGAAAAGATTCATGCAGCTTCTCCTACCACAGCAAATTCCGCTTTTACTGTTGATATTTGGCGCCAGTTAATTATAAAGTGATGATTTTGTTTGCTTTGACTCATTGGATGGAAACACTGCTTTATTCACACATCTTTTATCATTTTTGGATGGAAACATAGCTATTGAAACACACTGTAAAATAGACAATTTACTTATGTATAAACCACATATTTATACACTCTGAAAACAAAATGTGGTCTAACAGCAACAGTGTTTGTCAAACTATACAACACATTCTCACTTCTAACTTGTCGTATATAGATGCTTGGTCTGGACCCTTTCTCGTCACTTTGCAATACTTCAGGTACCGCTTTGGGGTCATTTTACGATGTGCTGGGTCCTCCAATGACTTTGGTCATTTTAATTATGCTTCCCTTTAAACAGTTTGCATGTATTAGTAAAATACAGATCATTTTATAAAATGGCAAAATCGTTTTACTAAAAGTAATATTAGAAATAACAGAAATATTTTGTAGCACCCACCCCACACGTAACCCTAACATGAATAAGCAACAGGTAAATAAATAATAAGCATGAATAAGCAGCAAATAAAAGTGGATTCATGTGTATTTATTGCAAAAACAACCATTAAAAAGCAGTACAAACAAGATGCAATCCAAGTCCTGTGATTTATGAAGTTTCAGAAGTTAAAAAATGATCCGGCTACCACTCATTGATATTTAAAAAATCTCTCAAGGATTAGCACATTAGCATGACATTATTGGTCACAAGACAGAAAGGGAGCCAGTAGCATTTGACTCGATTGGTCATGAGACACAGAGTGAGCCAATAGCATGTAGTGAGCCAATAGTTTTCCCGGAAGCACCATTTGAATTTGTCACAGACAACATCTGAGCTGTGCAGCGAGTGGAGATGCATCAGTTTCTTCCAGAAATAACTCATGCTGATTCAGAAGACTTGTAATATTCAAATCTTTTGAATAAAATGCAACTGTAGGTGTATCTGTCTGCTATATCCTGTGTTTTATATGGACCAATGCTTATGTTTATTGCTAGGAGCTTTAATACATGCTCGTAAATGTGTTTGTAGTGTAACAAATGTAAAATAGTTTTGACTGTTTACTTTAGGTTTTACCCCGAGCACCGAAGAGTGACAAGAAAGGGGCCTGACTAAGCTATATTTAGTTTAGTTCTCTTGCCTGGCACTTTGGCACCTTGGCAGGTGAAGAGGCTAAATTAGTGCTGATACTACTAGAATATTGCATACGTAGCTTTCAAGGAATCCAATTTGAAAACCAGAATGAACTTATGTGTATGTATACAGAGTATATATATATATGTGTGTGTGTGTGTGTGTGTGTGTGTGTGTGTGTGTGTGTGTGTGTGTGTGTGTATGTATGTATGTATGTGTGTGTGTGTATATATATATATATATATATATATATATATATATATATATATATATATATATATATATATATATAGTATAAATATATTCTATAATATATTTTATCATTAAGATATTCAGTTTATTTATCTTTCCCAGTATGCAGGTTATATCTTGGTCTCAGTCTTCAGTTTCTTGGCGATTGTCTTTGTGACTATTTATGACTGCTGCATGAGTGGAAAATGTAACTGGTGCCCAAGTCAACTGCTATCCTGTTGCAGACGAACAGCAGAGGGTAATGAGAGTCAAAACAATACTGAAGCAGACTCAATAGGACAGGAGGATACCTCTTTCACCAGCAGCACTACACAAAATCAAAGAATGCTTCCTCCTAAAGTGCCCATTCGTCCTCATCAGCCTCCAACTAATTGAAAGAAATTTGGGGCAAAAAAACAAAAAACAAAACAAACATCATTAGTTCACCTTTTCTGTCTACGAGTTACATTATATATCAGAAACGTTCATGATTTTACTGATTTGGTTTAATATTATACTTATGCTTGGTAGTGGACACAATATTGCTTTAAAAGTAGAAGGTTGTAGCAGTTTACAATAGTTTACTTTCTATCACACTGTAAAAATATCTGTTAATTAACAGTTTCCATATTTTGTTTTGCGCATTTCATTTCTACTCAAGGGTGAGTCGAGTTTACTGTACAGTTTCTAGCTTATTACTATCTAGTAGTGTATGTTAGAGGATTAGTGTGTTTTGTTTACCTTGGCCCTGCTCGCGTTCCTAGCTGATGTTGTCATTGTCACTGTAAGCTGTTTGGATTGTACCTGGAGAATCGAGAAAAGCAGTAAAAACCTCAAGAACTGTCAGATTCTTCCATCTTGGCTCTGAAGTTGAACTCCAGCGGACTTTTTGAAATCTTCATGATTGGTTACTTATAAAGTATATTCACATAGATGAATGTAGTTTATAGAACATCTTGGGTGATGGGTCAGTTTTATGACTTCTGCTGTTTGGAACTCTGTTAATAGACTATTTGACTAAATCTGCTACTCATAACAACTTTTTAAAAAATGTATGCATTATGGTTTTCCAAAAAAATACCCATGGCTGTTTTTAAAATGTTTACAACAGAATTTCAATAAAAAAATTTTTAAGTCTTCCAATCACTGACTGAGGGCGTACTCGCACTATGTACAGTTGCCTTGAACCAGGCCAAAGCACGCTTGTCGCCTCTCCCATCTCCCCCGACAGCCGCACTCACATTACACTAGGGCCTGGACACGCTTACGTCATCAAAGATGCACTGTTTAGTAAGCGCTTTCGCTTAGCACTGTGGATATTTCTTCAGTTATAGCATGTAGTCGTTTGAGATGCTGTGACACGCTGTCAAATATTTCGCTGAACAGATTAGCCAATAAATAATCACAAATTCCTCATGCTGCTGGAACTAGGAGGTTTGCTGAAGGTGCGCAGCTGTCGTGCAGTGAGGGGTTTGCGTCTTTAATAATCTACGACAGTTCCGGGAAACGATTCGGGAAACAGGCCTGGGCAAGGTTTGAATGGCATAGTGTGTGTAGGCCCTTAAATTGTGTTATCTACAACCCCCTGATATAAAATGTAGTTTAGATGAAACCAGATTTAAATAGGGTACTTATAAATATTTATAAATTACTTATAAAAATGTATTGTGCTTATAAACGCCCCTAAAAACTTTGCTGTCTGTCATGTATTCAGAAGAAGCACATTCAAACACAGATGAGTTAAATGATTGTCTTGTTAAGAACAAAAACACGGACAATAATGCTAATTCTCTTTTTTAAAAAACAGTAAAAGTTCTAGTGAACATAATGCAAAACAAGTACTTGTACACGATAAGTTTTAGAGATTTAGTAAGGATATTTTATTTGGATTAATAATACTGTACCTACATTTGATAGTTGATTGCAATTTTAATGAAATTATTCAAATACCTGGTGATTGTATGAATGTGAACACAATAAACAATTTGATTCAATTTGATATGTCTGATTTATTGATTGTAATGCAAGGGAATGAAAAGTCATGCTTTTGTATTTGTTAAAAAGGAATGGGTTCATGAAATGGGTAATGGATGATGTGTTTTTCTGTTTACCTACTAAAAGTTTTTTCAAGTATGGCTTTTAAAATGATGAAAATGCACAATAAAGCAGCAGCAGTCTGCAGTCCAGTCAGAACTGAAAGTGAAACCATTAAAGTTACGGTGTTGGTTGAATGCTGAATGCTAGGAATACTCAGTAATACTACTTTACATTTCTCCTTCAGGTCAAAAGTAATGCGAGAGCTTGAACTACGAGACGCCGGTTTAGCTGTCATGTTGCATAATTGAATAAAGGCTTCAGTGTCATTTGTGTTTAGGGTAAACTTGGCTAAACAAAAAAAAGAAATTCAGATCATGTTAATTAGAGCTAATTTTACTCCGGAGTAATTTTTAAAAAAGACATTTTGACATGGCCTTTTTAAGGAGACTGAAATCAAAAGATGAAATAATGAAATAATAAAATATTAGGCAGAGTCAAAATATGTGTTATTTGCCAATTGGTGAAGTTTTTTCCTCGCCGCTGTCGCCACTGGCTTGCATGGTTCAGGATCTGTAGAGCTGCGCATCGATGGATTTGCTCTTCAGTGTTTGGACTCTCAGTATTGATTATTAAACCACACTGAACTGAGCTAAACTGAACTGAACTTAAACACTTAAAACTGAATTGACACTGTTTCAATTTACTATGATCTTTGAAGCTGCTTTGACACAATTTACATTGTAAAAGCGCTATACAAATAAAAGTGATTTGAATTGAACTTATCTTGTTTTGATAGAAGAAAGTGAACAATTAATCAGGAACTAACCCAATTCCATCCAAATGGGAGAAATGTATTCACTTTTAAAAAACAATTCTTACATCAGTTTACTAAATAATTGAATGTAAGGATTATGCAAGCTATATTTAGGTTATGTGAATCAGTTTTGTTTCAGTAATTATTCTCAAATCGAAATTTAAATGTGAGGCCAGAAATATGAACAACGTATTAAACTTTTTATAAGAATGACTGCCTATTCAAAAGTCTTATAAAACGCATGGCATTGTGTTTAGATAGAAATTTGAAACCTTTTGTTGCACAGTGTCATGTTTATACCTGTCTGCTTCTGCCCTGATTCAGAGTGCACAAATCAGCATCAGTAATTGAGACTGACAGACCCAAATAACCAATAGCAAGTACCTGATGAGTGAGAGAAAAAAAATCTAAAAAAGAAGGAACAAGACAAAACAACTCATACTTTGACTGAACACAGGCATCTCCTGTACAAGTAAGTTTAAAAAAAAAACTTTTTTATTTTATTTTATGCTTTTATAACTGTACTAAACACAACAAAAAAAATGTTTTTCATTGAAGGTTGTCTGACCATCTTGTGGAGCAAACTACAGACATTTTCCACTGACTTGATACAGAAGAGTTTTCAAAATGCCACTAAAACCCTTTGTTAAAGTAGTGAGTAACTTGTTGTCCAAAAAAAATGCCATCACCTCGGTTCCAATGAGCTTTTTGTTAGTAGGTTTGCAGGCGCTGATTAATGTGCATTTCTCATGCCCTTGCAAATATGTTTGGAATGTAACTTTATCCATTTTTGTCCTCGTTGTTCCTGCTTTTTTTGCTTTTGTCATAATGCTTATGCTACTAAAACCTTGGAAATATAAGCATATATACACAACCTGTAGCTGTTGTCAAAAATCTAAATGTGGAGGAAGTTCTAAGAAAAACGACAACAGATGTCAAGAACAAGAGAAAAAAGGGCAGAATGAAAGTGGAGAAACTCGGTCACAAACCAAGGAGAGCTGTGAATGGGTTTTGTTGGCTTGTCTGATTCCGCCTGTCGTGTGGATCTGCATATATTTCATTGATGGTGACTATGTTGCATGTGCTGCGTCGAAATGGAATGGACGGTATGCCTGTGATAAAGAACTGCATCCGCTTTGTTTGAATTGGTGCAAACCTAATGAAGAAGAAAGTGAAATCAAATACTACGAAAAAACACTGGAAGCTATCCGTGCATCAAAGGTAAATTATTTACCCTGCCTCTTAAAGACCCAAAATAGAACAAAGAAACTCTATTAGCTACACATTTGTTGATGATATTGAAAGTACAAATGCAAAACAGACACAGATGGGGTTCAAGTGTGGGTATTTTTTCGTCTCCGAAAACATGGCTATTGAATTTTGGGCACCTTGTAGACTGGGTTTACAAAGTCAACCAGAACAATTGACATGTTTGACTTGTTACTAAAGGTTGAGGACAATTTTGAAAAAATTCTGCCTCCGTCAGACAAAATTACAAACATGCCTAATGGAAAAGGGTGTAGGGCACATGATAGTGATCATATCGGAACTGTGTTTATTCATAAAATGTACAACAACAATAAAACCAATCACAGGTAAGTATAAATAAAATGCTCTAGAGAAAATACCTGCTTCCTTAACTGTGTTCTTCTTCCTGATTTTTTTCTCCCCTTTTTTGCTAGATATGCGGTTATGTCATTGCCTTGACCTGCTGCATTGTAGCAATGGGATGTGTTGTACATTGGAAGGACTGCTGCTGTTCAGCCACCAAAAGTCCAGAAAGTAAAGATGATGGAGAGGAAACGCATGATCTGTTGAGAAAGCCAGACAAGAAACAAGGAGAAGAACATGAGATGGACCAGTTTAAAGATGAGGACTCAACAAAGAGACATTCAAATCAGGATGATAAAACAGAGTAGATGGTAAAGTAAAGATCAAATCCAATGGTCTGCTTGTTAATTTGCTATATCTGAAACTCTTGCTCTCACTTTCTCATATTATCCTTTAAAATGTTAATAGTTATTGCATACTTTGTGTTTGCTTGTAATCTTGCTTGTATCATTGCAGATTAAGTAAAACATCATTTATGGTATGAGTTTTGTAAAATAGTAGTTTTATTGAGGATATCTTTGATTATCCTGGCTTACTATTTTGGTGTTTTGGTTTTGCCTTAGCATGTATATATTTTCTTTTTTCTAGTATGCTTGGATGTTTTGCTATTCAGAGTAAAAGTGAAAGCATTAACCAGCTTGCCTCTGGGTATTTTGTATGCAACTGTAGGTTTTTAGGATTGTTTAAATCAATACTCATTGTGTTAAGACAGGTTTGTTTCTGAATGTAGAAATACAAAACCTGCAAGTTCTTTTCCTTTTTCATTATTGTTTCTGTTTTAAGGGGCAGCAAATGTGTTTAATTATTACACCGAAATTAGAGTAAAGTTCCTCGCCAATATCAACTTAGAAAATAGCAACTTTTCACTTTTAGTCAGTCTTAGTACATGTAACTACAGTAAAGTCAAGCTTTAAATTGGATTATTATTATTACTTTTTGGTCATTTTTGAGCAAGATGCTAATGGTCTAATCCGATTTAATTATTTATGCTAAGCTAAGCTAAAAGTGCTTCTGCCAGACCCAGAGATTGGTTGAATGGGTTCAAAGATTGTAAAACTCAACTGTATAACTCTATAGGACAGCCTATTTATTAGCCTATGTAGTATCATTTATTATGCCATTTAAATAAATCTATTTTTTACACACAGGCCTCAGGCATTTTGTTAATACATGCATTGTCATTTTCATTTACAGATGGCAAGTTATTGTCTCTTTATTGCCTTAGGCTTTGTAACGGTTCCTGTTGTTTTTGTATTCAATGTTAGGATATGGAAATCTGACCTACTGCAGAAACATGGATCCAGAACAAGAAAGAATAAGTGTTGGCACTGTCTCAAAATCTAAAAACTTAATAATAGTGGGAAAATCTCAGCTCCTTTTATTAAAAAGAATAAAAAAACTGACATATGTTTAATTAAATTTCTGTTTTTAACATATATTTATGTTTATATATTTACAACATGTCTTTTTTGCTTGTAATTTTCCCTTTTAAGGATCTTTTTCCTTTTAAGGATCTTAATTCCCGTTTTCACCTTTTTTGTCCTACAGTGATATAAATCAGGAAATGGATATTTAAAATGTATAGTTTACTCTGGAGGTTACACTTTTAGTTTTGTCTTCCATCAGAACAGATTTTTCTTACAGGCGTTAAAAAAAATGTTTTATCATTTTTGCTACAGAAATCATTTGCAGTTTCAAAGTGAAATAGTTATAACATATAGTCATTCGATAGCTAAAATGACGCATTCAAAGTTTCCTAAAGTGTTTATCCATACAGTAACTTTATGATTTTGTGTCAAAAAGGATTATTACCTTTTCTGCAGGTGAATGTTAGGTATTCATGTGAATTTCCATTCATTCCAGTAGGGGTTCAAAGTTCTTCTCTGCAGATCTCTCAACTTTTCTAACAAAATAACGATATGAATTCTCTAATCCAGCTGCCTTATATAGTTTTATCTACACTTGTGTCACCTAGCCGGTAATCCGGTGAAAGAGTTGTCCAACTAAAGTCCTCAGGAGTTCTTCAGAAACTTTTTGTGAGTATTTAAGGCAGCAGGGGGCACTGAAAGTTCCTGTCAAACTAAATCCCAGTCACACATCCTGTCGGAGAACAGGGACATGAAAACCACAGGAAGAGCGAGAGAGATTACAAACTAAATGTATTCACCAAAGATCCTGAAAATTGATGATATGCAGAGAACCTACACATATACGTGTGAGTCTGTTCTGAAGAAAGAAAAGTTAAAGTTAGCAACGGGGTTACCCAAAGAATTGTTGAGGCAATTAACTGATCTATTTTTGTAAACAGCTGTTATGAAGTTTCCGTCAATCTCCCTTTTTAAAGTTTTCAAGCTTCCTTTATACCATAAAATGTCAACAGTTATTCTTTAATCGATTTGTAATTCCAGGCTACGACAAAAACAGAGGAATGTGACAGAAATTCAAATCATTCATTCCTTCATTTTCTTGTCGGCTTAGCCCCTTTATTAATCCGGGGTCGGCACAGCGGAATGAACTGCCTACTTATCCAGCAAGTTTTTACGCAGCGGATGCCCTTCCAGCTCAAACCCATCTCTGGGAAACATATACACATTCACACACACAAACGCCAACTGTGGCAAGGTTCGAACCAGCGACCCAGAGTGCCACTGCCTCGCCATAATTCAAATCTTTTGGTGAAAAAAAATATAATAATTGCGTTTGGTTATCTCATTATACATTCTCAGATCCTTCGTGCAACAAAGCAAAACTTGAAGTCACTTTTAGTCGCAAACACTGTACTCGAACTGACTAAGATTCTTCATAATATCTAAGTTGACTTGGTGAGATTTGAGTCGTTTTACAACTGTTTTTGCGACTAAATCTCTGTCATTTTTCAGTTATAGTCTACAAAATAAATATATTTTTTAGATAGGCAACTCTTTTCCTGTATGATATTGGACATAAACTTAAGATTTAATCACATAATCATGTCTTATTTTTGTTTTTTGCACACACAAAAAAAAAAACACTTTCAATGGAAAATACTATTTGACGTTCTTGAATTACAGTAACCACTCTAAAATTTTATGTAATTGTTTTATTTATGTTTTGATTGATTGGTTGAGTGATGCCAGAGGAACCTTTTTATTAAAAAGGTTTTGCAGAGAACAATTTTCCCCATTGCAGAACAGTGGCAGTTCTAGAGCAAAATAACTGGGGGTGCCGGGCAGGGGCCACTTGTCCTTTTAGAGGACACATTTTAACATGCATCACAGACTACTCTCAAAGGCATTTTTTCATGCATCACTGCAGTCTTCATAAACAAGCTAATTAAATAACTTAAACTCAAAATAATCTTTTATGTTAATTTATTTGACAAGTAGCTTTTTATTGTATGAATACACATTTTTAACATTCAAATACATCAAGGCACTTTTTTTTTGCCCTCCGAATTTAAAATGTTGTCCAAGTGATCTTTAACAAACCAAGGATGTTTTTACAGTATTTACAATAGAACAAAAAAAATTCTTCCGGTGTCATAACAAGTCTTATTTCTTATAGTTTGTTTAAATTTTTTTAAAACTGTTTTAAGGTCAGTAATATTAGCCTTTTAAAAAATATTTACTTGTATAGTGTTTGATTGTCTAGACAGCAAACCAGTTATACAATAACTTGACTAACTTTCTCAGTTAAAAACCTAGTTAAGTTTTTAAATTACACTTTATTCTGATTACAACTATCTTTCAAGATATTTAGTAAAACATTTTGCACTCACTGTTATTAGAAATTAGTTAAACACAACTAAAAACAAAAATGAATGAATGCAAAACTGAACAAGTTTAATATTATTTTTACATGAGCATGACTGAAAATTACATTTGATGATTTGAGTTTTACATCTCCGGTTCTTGTCGACTGTTTGTAAATTCAAGACTGAATTTCCTTACGTAAACCTATGCACACTCAATTTCTCATTGATAATTGCCTACAATAGCCGACAAAAGTCAAGGGAAAGCAAAGAGAATGAGTGCGCGCGACACCGAGAGTGCACGAGAGAGGCCTCAGTCGTATCTCTGTCTGCCAACAATGGCTGATCTCGCTTCTCTGTGTTTTAGTCGTGACACAAAAATGCAGGTCCACATTTAGGGGGGTCAGAAGGGGGGCCAAGCTTGTTGACACTTGAATGAGTAAATAATGACAGACTTTTCATTTTTGGATGAACTCCCTCTTCAAGTGTGTAGCAGGGGCCAACTGAACTAGAAATACTGACCTGTTAGCTACCTAGTCTGTTTAGTCTATATTCCTGCCATCATTACACTCCACTCTGTGACAGATTCCCACCATTTTAAAGCTGCAAATAAAAAGCAGCAGGTTTGGAATTCACTGCTAACTCGCTGAATAATGACAGCGCAGGAGTAACTGTGCAACATTTGGCTGCCAGTCGGCTCTCAGAAAGGGGTTTGTAATCATCTGAGAGTAGAAGCAGTGAAGAAAACCTCTTCCTTTTTTCACTTAAACACAGTTAATTTTCTTAATCACTGTAATTACCGTTTAGAAACAAGCTTTGATTTAATTAGAACTAGGACACTTCACCTTCTGTTTGAGGACATAACTAATTGGGACATAGCGTAACATGGGAAAAATGAGAATTTTTGTGGTACTTAAAATGGTAATTCCACTCATTTTACACTCAGTCAGAAACTGTCACTGTATTTCTCATAATTTATATTTATATCACTGTTATTTGTAACTTTGTATTGCATATTCATACATTTGTGCCTTCGTTAATAAGGACTAAATAGGCACACCATTCATTTCATTCACACAGGGAGAACATGCAAACTCCAAACAGAAATGCCAACTGAGCTGAGGTTCAAACCAGCTACCTTCTTGCTGTGAGGCGACAGCACTACCTACTGCGCCACTGTGTCGCCCCAAATAGGCACACCATTGTCGTTTCATTTTAAGATCATCATTACTGTTAGAATGTTTTAATAAGCAATGGCATGCCCTGATTTTCTTGTTTTAAATGTGGTCTTATCGCGAAGTGTTTAATGGAAACCATAATTTTGCAACCTTCATCTGCTTTCATGCTCTCCACGGGTCTTATCATCAACAGCAGCTGGTCCAGAAGTAAAAAGTGTGCAGTTCAGTCTTTCGTTTCTTACTATTTGAAGGAAATATTGAGTGTTCTTTGTATATGTGCACATACAGTATATCATTTTAGGTGTCTGTCAAACTTGCATGACACAAATCAATACACATGTTTTGCACAGTTCAGGTCAACTTTTAAATATATATTACATCCTTCAACCTTGAGGTTGACGTTGCATGCTTTGCTGTATTTATAATATTTCTACTCCCAGTAGGGGGCGACAAGTGACTAAGTGATTCTTTGAATCAATTACTATAATTTGTTTAATTCAGAAGGCAGTAATGCATTCAGATATGCACACTCTTTATAAGCTGGTCAACCATTATTCAGATTACATGAAAATACAAAATCTACATCCAAAAACCATGGTTATCTTTATGAACAATATACTGTATTGAATCGTTAATTCAATAGAATCTTTGAATTGAATCGCGCTGATTCTTTCAACAGCGACTCTCATGTTACATACGATGATTCACTCTCTGCTGTGGATTGTTTG